AGCAGGATGGCTATGTATACAGGAGTTACAGAATTGTTCCTTTGTCTTTGTCATACACGTCCAAGGGTATGATTTGGTATGGTAGTCTATGGGATGGTTTAGTATAATAGAGGATGGAGTGATGTGGTTACCCTGTATTACCTATATTACCCAATCTTACCCTGTTACCTGTTATTACCTATATTACTCTATCTAATGGATGTAGACAGACAAGATGACAATCACTACCAAAATTCAGAGTTGTACAAGTAAGTATAATGACTAATATGTTTATGAAGCATTCTGGGCCATGTAAATATGTTATATCTTTTAAAGGTCTATTAGCTGTTCCAAAAATTTTATTTTATCAGTAGAAGAAAAATTTATGAGTAAATATGTTAAATTGTCATTGCTTATAATGAGCGTAATGGATAAAGTAAGAAATTTTTGTAGCATTAAGCAATTAATGGAATTTTAAAAACTGACTCATGTTATGTTTTTTAAAAAATTAGTAATGATTTTAATATTGGTCTTCAATAAACTTTATGTGTTCTTTTAGTTGCTGGTCCTTTGTAATAATGGTACATTTAGCTGCTTCTTCTGTTTGATTAATGTGGGAGCTCTGCTAATTGATTTTATGTAACTATTTCTTTCTAATATAAAATTTTTACAGTATAAGTTGGCCTTTACCACTGCTTTTTCTGCCTCCCAAAAATTTTGATATGTTGTGTTTGAATTTGTTCAATTTAAGGTATTTTCTATTTGTTGTCTTTAATTCGTATATACTTAGGGATTTCTAGCTTTCATTGCTAATTTCAGTTACATAACACATACTTATGATATCAATCTTTTTACTTTTATTGAGATTTAGTTTATGTTCTAATGTTAAGTCCAGTAAGACCTCAAATAGAGTTTGGACAATTTACAGGCAATCTAATACAAGATCCTTCTGTTGTTCTCATAATTTCAATATTTTATCTTGCATTAACTCTTCCTAGCCTGATAGATGAATTGTTAATTTCTCTTCACCTAAATCAGCTTTTATGGAAACTTTAAATTTTTTGTTATTGATATTGGAGAAAATATTTGCCGGTCTACTCAGGCCTTCTTCAGATGCCACCTTTAGGCGCTTGCATGCCATGGATTATGGTCACTGAACCCTGTAAAGGCATTGCATTCAGACTGCTCTGTCCAGTAGAATTTTTAGCTAGGAATGGCCTAGATACCAAAAGAGGGTAATGTAGGAAGTTATTGGTCAATTTGTTCTTGTTGTTGTTTATTTTGTAAATGATGTTTCTAATGAGACAAACAGAGTCCACTCTTCATTTACAAATTTATGAAACATAATTTCTCCAGTACACAGTATGGTACACCTGTAGCCTACTGAGAAGAAACCCTCATTGGAGAAAGGTTGTAGATAATTGCGACACTATTGGCAAGGCAGATTTGAGGGCTAACTTTTAGAAAAATCACCTAAAGAAAAATGTTCTCACTTGTACCGTTTTAGTTTAGTGGTCAGTGAACAGTTTAAGTATGAGAGTTGGGCTGGGAGTGTGGCTCAGTGGCACAATCTGTGTTAACCTCCAGAGGCCCCAGGTTCAATCCCAGCATCGCCAGCTGCTGCAAAACACTTGTCACTTCTTTACTGCCGCATGGACCATTCTGGTGCACTTCAATAGGGCATATTCTATAATTTTGTATGAGTATATCAGGGATGCAAAAATAGAACTTTTTCCCATTGTGGTCCAACACTAATTTGTATTGGGCTATTTAGAGATAGATCGTTTAGCTATCAACTTGTGAAGCCATCTCCAACAGCAAGCAGTGTTTCAAATTGCTTGAGCTTGTCTTCTGAGAAAATAATATATGGAAGCTTATCTTTCATTCAATTTAAATATTTCAGCAAAAATCATTAGGGATAATGCAGTCCCGTTTGAGAAACTTGAACGCATAGACCCAAAATTTAGAGTTCATAGAATAAAGTGCTGAATTTTTCACCTGGCATCTCCTTTGGCTGTAGAGAGAAAAATATCTGAACAAACTTCAAGTGGCTGTTTAAAAAGTTAAATGACAATATGAAGTAATTAAAACAGCATTTGCTACACAGTGAGAATTTTATTATGTATAATATATGTGTATGGTTTCAGACAAAAACAAAGGTAGCATGTAGCCTATAAATAAATAAAATGTTCATATGTGCATATAGACATGTCTCTTTCCCCCATGTCTCTGCGTCAGTCTGCTTCCTAGCTGAAATGTGCATACATTCCTATTATTATCATTATTATTATTATTTATTATTTGGTTTTTCAAGACAGGGTTTCCCTGTGTGACAGTCCTAGCTATCCTGGAACTAGCTCTTGTAGACCAGGCAGGCCTCAAACTCACAGGGATTCACCTGCCTCTGCTTCCCGAGTACGGGGATTAAAGGCATGTGCCACCATCGCCCAGCCACATTCTGAGTATTGTTTTAATCTTTTCAGTTCCTTTTGAATTTATACTACCTTGAGGCATGACCAAAACGGTAAATATATTGAATGTCTACAAATAATCTTCCTTTTAATTTTCTCTCCAAGATCTGGAAAATTTGAACCATATTTATCATTTATTCCTGATTTTATAAATTTGCAATTCATTATTTTACCTCAACATCTATTTTGTTACCTTTTATATGTGATTAATTATAATGTTTGATCAAGAACAGAGGTTAATTTTTATACTTAATGAATGTAAATCTAGTTTTTAGGCCCAAAGTCTTCCAGTCTAATTGTCCAGTTCTCTGATAAATTACAGTGATTTCTAGGGGATTGCTTTTATGCTAATTTTGAACCATGTGTAACTGTAAGGTAATGAAAATATGATCAGGTGCTAAAAAGCATTAATTGCATTAAAACATCACCAATCACTTCCTTAGGAATCATATGCTCAAACTGTTTACAATATCCGTTGTTGTGTGTCCATTTTACATTAAGTATATTAAATAGAAGATGAATTTATCCATGTTATCTCGTAACATAGGTATCTGTTGATAAGGATCCTTTCTCTGCTCTTCTGTTTCTTCATTACTCTTTCCTTTGATTTCTCCTTTCCATTCCTTAGGTTTCTTGTCTATTTGTCCTTTTCATTGTGATTCTAGGTGGCTTTAGCAAGTTAGTATTTGTCCTCTGGACTCTAAATGAAGTGACTGACCCTCAAGAGTAGATCACCGTGGTGCTGAATAGCTCCACTGCAAGATGAAGACTATCTTTCATGCTTAAGGAGGAAAAAGAAGTACGAAACAAAACAAAACAAAAATATCAAGAGAACCAGGGTTGTTAGAAGAGGCTACACAAGCAAATTCAAGGACAGAGATAACTATTGGCTTTCCTTTATCATCTCAGTTTATTTGAGAACCATGTAGACAGTTTCCAATAAACAATATCTTGTTTTTGACTTAGGAAAATGCTAACATTTGATTTGCCCAGTGAGAATTGGTGAGACAATTTGTTTCTATGGGAGGAAGCAATACAACGTAGGGAAATTAGAGCCCTGATTAACATGTAACAAGTAACCTTCACTATAAGTGGTGTTCATATTTGCATGGTGGTAAGACTGCATAAGGAACACCTGATTGGTTTTGTTTGCAGGCAGATGAAATTTGAAAAATTAACCATCTCTAAATTAGAAATGTATTTCCAAGGTGATGCAAAATATCTAAAGGGACATGATACTTGTTGGTAGGCTTCTGCCGTGACCCATGACTATCCAGTTGTATACAACTTTTTCAAGGTGATAAATATCATTTTTCAAAAGCAAGAGGGAAGTAATCTATCAGGTCATTAGTTATTGAAAGAATGCTAGATTTGTTGAAGGAAGGTTATTCAGGGTAGTTCGAGCAATTGATTATAAAAGAGTTGCTTGTTTGAGTAGTCAAGCATGTGATTCAAATGTGGAGTTGGCTTGCCCTTGAATAAAATTTTACTAAGTACACAAATGCTGCTGAACACTTATGAAATACAGCAAATCCTGCTACTTTCATAATTCAAAATGACTAACATGTCAAACATTTGCGTTAGAGGATAGTTTCTACTAATATTTGATTTAATTTTAATCAATCGCTATTTTTATTAAGGAGAGCTCTGTTTAATTCCATGGTATTGATTTCCTGCTCTATATCTAATTCCTTATTCATTTGGGGGCAAAATGGTAGAAGAGATAATGGATTTTGTTATTATTTTGTGCTGTGTATGGTAACTTAACCCTTTAGGAGAAACAAAAATACTCCTATTGCTATTAAATAAGTGCAATTAATTTGAGAATAATTGCTAGATATGTTAATTGTGTAAATTCTTAAATATACTCACTAGAAAGTTTTAAAATTAATGTCACAGAGCTACAGAAATACATTGAATTTCCAAATAAAATATTTTCAAGAACAACATCATTTTAATATTTTTGGTACTAAGTTTGACATACAGGTTTTTATTTTAGTGATTAAAAATGGAATTTGGATGATTTTAAGAAAATGAATACAATATCCTGGAAATTGTTTTAATAAACTCATTTATGGGGGGGGTCAGAAAACTAAAGATGAAATGGGTTTATCTATATGTGTTTATGTGTATGTATATGTAATATATAAAACCAAATGCAGTAAATGTGTCTTTGTTATCTCTCCTTTGTGGTTTTCAGATGGTAGAAGTTATTGATCTTGTCTCAGGTCTTAGAAATAAATGCTTTTTGTAAGAAGCCATAGATTCTTGGCAATTTCAAAGGTTATTTGAAGTCTTGTGTGTTCTCTCAAGCAGGAAAATATTTATATACTTAAACATTTCACTCACATGCCCATTGAACAGTCTTATTTAAAACTACATCCTGTAACTTTCCGGTTTTCTTTCTTATTCTCATTCTGCTGGGACACTCTTAAGTGTTGTGAAGAAGTAGACATCTCAAATAATAAAACATTACTAGTTCTTTGGTTAACATGCTCAAAGAAAGTATTTTTTGACATCTAATTGTGTCTTCTATTTTATTTTTTACAGAAATGTTGAATTCAGTAAGTCAGAAGACAAAACCATGGACTTTTAGCAATCAAAGAACAAATTAAGGTAATTCATAGACTATTATCGTTGAATATTTAAAAATAAATTTATAATATGTGAACTCAAGTTGATATATGTTTTAGGAGACTTAGAAACATTGAAAATGCAGCATGTTTAAGTTTTTATAGATTTTGAAATGACAGTTTAATATCTTATGTGTTTGGGGAAAATAGATTTTCTTTTCTGAACAATAAATAATATAGTTGAGCATACTTGCTGTTGTGAAGAAATGCACTAGATCTATATGAAAAATAATTTGGCTAAAGGAAGTAGTTTTTTTTTTTGTGGCTGCTGCTGTGGAGAGAACTGATGGCCACATTACTGAATTAGCGTTATGTTAATAGTTATGAAACAACGGTGCCAAGATTGTTGCTCCCTTTGATACATGGACACCAAAACAATGCATTGATGCCATTTTTGTATAATTTGTTTCATTTGCTCTCAATTTTATCCATAAATGAATATAAAATTAATAAATTAAGTATACTTATTTTATATTATCAAGATGTTTTATATATAAAGCAGATTATTTTCAAATCTGACCTATTTACTACAAATATATTTATTAAGTCAACATGAAAATTTTCAGAGTATAAAATTAGGCTGTTACATATTTCCTCAAGCAAGTCATAAAATGTAAAGCAGATCTTTTTATTCATATTCCATGGTAACAATTAGGATTTCTTTCTTTGTTGTTTTTGTGGTTGTTGTTTTGGGGATAATTTCTGAATAGGTACCCCAATTCAAAATCCTTCTTTCTGAGTCTCCTGAGTTCTACGATTACAGCTGTGTACAACAATGCCAGGCTTGTATTGTCTTTTTGCAATATTCCAATTAATTTTTGTAAAGGAACTTTAAATTATTACAAATATGCAGAAAAAAATCCGGGCTTCTGATTTTCTTATTTTTCTTATTAACTGATTAATATTTCTTGAATTTTAATTCATTGAAATAATAGTTATTTACTATATATATTACCACAATGTGTTTTCCAAGTTTACAATTAACCTTAAACACTTAAGATTATGGACACATTACAAATGCTTTTATAGACAGCCTATTTTGAATGATGTTTAGTGATTTAATTTTTTTTTTATTTTTAACTTCTTTGCCACTGATTTTCCTCTCCGTATCATTTGCATATGTAAACAACATTCCTCCTCTTTTTGAAAGTAGTATGATTGAGTCACTCAGAATTGATTAGCTTGTTATTTTAATATCTAAATGCTGTAGACATTCATCTACTAAGTTAAAACTGAAATTAGGTCACTGATACAGTGAAATAAAGTAATTTAACAGAAACAGGCTTACTCAATAATTCCTTTAAAAATATTGAATCGAGTATTACCTAGAAACTCTCACTAGAAGCTAGTACCTGACTGAGGGTGATGTTTTTAAACACAAGGATTCAAGGCAGAGTCAGGCAGATCTTAGAGATATTTCCAGGCCAGCCAGAGTTACTCTGTGAGATATTTCCTGAAGTGGAAGATGACAGAAGACATGAAGAGAGTTGCTTCAGTTGTAAACAGACAGACAACAAACAAAAAGAACAGATTCTGTACTATGAGATAACCAATCTCTCCGTGGACAAATGTGTCGGTATAGTTCCAGCCTATTTGCTTCCTGCCCCTACTTGCTTCATTGTGTTTTTAAATATAGAGGTGCATAATGTGTATTAAACTTACCATTTAAAAAGATGCAGTCTACTTTGACAAGCAGTGAAAGCTGAATAATTGCCAACCAAATCAAGAGACTGAACATATTCAGCACAGCAGATACCACTAACTGCTCCTTTTGTAGCCCACCCATTAGCTCAGTTTCAGTACTGGGAGCCTCTAGACTCCATTTTAATATAAGACACGCAATGCAAACTTGAGAAGCATGGGGAAGTGCTGCTAGGTTGGAGAGAATCTGGACACATGACCTTTCATGTGTTATTACCATGTCTATGTTTCTGTTCCCTCTTGGGTAGTTAGAGGATAATAATAAAGTTTTCTACTGCATAGCATTTAGAATAGAGTTCAGCATGTCCAAAATGCTGTATCAGTGCTTGAGACTCAAGAAGGACACACTGGAGAAGGCATCCCTTTCTGTAGTAAAGCTCTTCTTTGAGTGTGTTTAACCACACAACATCAAATGAAAGTTTTCAAAACAATGAAGGGTGTTTAGTAAAACCGTGTTCACACAAAAGTATAGTTGTTGCCTCCACTCTTTCAGCTCCTAGGGATAAACACTTGGAGTAATGCTGAGACAATTTCCCACAGATGGCGGATCCATCAGCAGGTTCTGCCAGACTTCTTATTACCCCCTTGGCTACTGCCTTGAGTCCAATCTGAGCCCTGTGTTGTGCAGACAAGAAGCAGTATGAGATGTTTTTCTTTGGGCCATCTTTACCACCTTTGTCATAATTCACAACTCAGTGTCTGCCCCCTGGGCTCTCCAGCTGGCTTGGCTTCAACACGTGCTGAAAACCTCCTCCACCAAGAGCCATAGCTCTTGTTTTCCTTCTACTCACTCTCCTCAGATACTCGTATCTCCTCACCTAGAACTCCCCTTTCCGTGCTGGCCTTAACTGTACAAAAATTTAAAATTGTAAGTACCTAAGAGTCCTCTGTGGCACTGCCTCTTGTTTTATGCTAGGACTTTTTCCCTTGCTTCTTTAAATTAGTTCCTGTATGGTCTCAGCAGGATATCTCCTGTAGCATAGTGTCTTCCTTGCCATGCAGGTGTAGGAATTTGGATAGTGCATATATCATGACCCAGTACTGTGCAAGCAGAAATGGGCAGATCCAGACAATGTCTGTGTGCAGCAAGCCTAGCCAAAAACATGGACTTCATGTTTCTGTCTTGAAAACATAAATATGGAAAGAAGTTGAAGAAGACACCCAATGTCTAGTTCTGATCTTCACAACCATGTACACACAGCATACATGTGTGCACACATATACTGATAAGACTAATAAGTATATATACTCCATACCCACACCAAACACAAGCATGCACACACACACACACACACACACACACACACATACATACGCCCATGATAAGTTCAGCTATTTAGGAAATAGTTCCTATTTATAGATGCCTATTTCTTCTTTTATGTATCTTTTATGATGGATCACTAGCCTTGGTCATGGACTCGTAAAAGACAGCTAGAAATATCATAGATGACAATGTGAATATAAGACATTGATTATCTGGAATATTCTTGTAATAACTCAATTGTTGTCAAATGAAAATCCAGTTTCAGGCAACTGTTGGGACTGAGTGGTGGCCACACCTGTGAGATTGTTTCCAAAGTGAAGTTGACAGAGCTTCATGACTGCATTTGAAGGATGAGAGAAAAGCAGATGGCGGGAATAGGTATCAGGATGGAAACTGACCATGCTTTTAGTGGTACTGTGTAATACCTGTATAGATAGCAAAGTTTAAGGATTCCTTGAATATAAATATGTATGTATGTGTGTGTGAGAAATAAGTAAATAGTTCATAGATAATATATAATTTATTTTATATAATCATAATTTATTATATGTAGTTTATGTTTTATAATTTTAACACATAATCACATATTTTATGCACTATGTATATAAATGCAAAGAAAAAGGGATATACTGTTTTATAGAAATAGCATCCAGACTGATGCTAGTCTTCATTTTTACGTAGAAATTGTTTTCTGAAGATATATAATGCGTCAGACTTAAGGTCACTGGTGTCTCTTACTTTTACTCATTTGTTTATGGAAAATTAAAACAAATTCGATTTACTAGGAAATTACATTTCTAATTAATTTCAAGGCCATAGAGAGAGTGCAGGATTCTGAAGCTGGCCAGGGGTAGAGTGATAGCTCATTGATTATTCATACGCTCATTCCTACTTATTCCATGCTTAGTGGCTGTCACACGCTGTCAGCCACATAGTTAGTGCCCTTCAGAATTCATGTGCGGACTCGGCAGCCTTTGGAAATCTGCATAAAGATACGTCTGACATTGGATAGATAGCTGCCCATCAGTAGCAGACAGCTGAAATTGTCAGCCATTTACACCGCAGAGCAGACCGCCATGAAGCAGTGATCAGGAAAGGCAGTATTGGCATACAACAGAATCACATACTAACCCAAACAAAACAATAAATCGGTTTTCACAGTTTCATTTTTTTTTAAAACAAAACGTAATGAAATCAATACCAGTTACCAAGTGTGCTGGCATCCGTTTCTTTGGTGTACGTAGCTTTATTTGTGTAATATTTAACTTTGAAAAATTGTTTTAAAATATCCAAACTTTGTCTTGCTTGGTTCTGTATGTATGTATGCATATATGTATGTATGTGTATATGTATGCATGCATTCATGTATGTGTATGTATGGATTGAATGTACTGCTTGATTAATCATTGAAGTACTAGAGATAGAACTTAAAAGCACTTCACCAGCAAATTATAACCATGGCCCTCTTTGTACTAATTTTTAATACATATTTTAAAGGAATACTCCCAAGGCTGCTGTAGCTAGTCTGAGTGTATTCTGGAGCCCACACATGCCTTAAAACTCAGGGTCTTTCTACCTTAGCCTTGTGTTTTCTGTCATGAGAAGTATGCATTACGGCCCTGTGCCACCAGTCCTGTATTGAATGTCTAATTTGGGGGAAGACGGGATCTCACTAGAGGGAACATTTACTCACGATTACTTTTGAGTACATACATTTGAGCTTCCTGTCTATTCCATAGTTTGAAATTACACACTTTAAACGTTTGAGGATTTTAACAACCATATGTTTTTAGAACTGGAACTAATGTTTATCTACTTCCATCTCTAACCTTTGTTTTCTCTTTGTAAAATGCCGTGAAATATAAGGGCTGTGGAAAAGTCATGATTACCAAAACAAGACACCAACCAATTTTATCACCTAAACATTTCCGCTTCTTTCTCCCAGTTAATCAAAACCTGTGTAATCCTCTTATCCGTAGATTTCATAGGTTCTTCTCAATTCATATTTTTAAATTTTT